TTTGAACTGTTGAGACAGCAGCAGGCTGCTGCTGGCGGGTCGATGCACTCGCGTCGACCCGAGACTTTGAAGATTGACATGTCAAAGTAAAGGGGGGTCGAAGAAGACTCCCTCTTGAGATGGTTCGTCGAATCAGACGAAGCCATTAGGGCGCGTCGCATCGACGACGGGGATATGCAAGTTGCATTTGCCCAGTCAAATCTGGCAGGACGTGCCAAGACTTGGGCACTGGGGCTCAAGTTGCACGACCCATATGCGTTTGGGTCGTTGGAAGTCTTCAAGTCGCGGCTCAGACAAACGTTTGAACCGCCTAGAGCTGAGTTCAGGACTCGAACCGAACTCTTGAAGCTCAAACAGGGTAAGCGTGATGTGCACGCTTACGCCCAACATATACGACATCTTACGAGTTGTATAAGTTCCAATCGGGTGGATGAACACACGTTGGTTTCGGTGTTCATGCAGGGTCTTGCGGATGGTCCCGTCAAGACTCACCTGTTCCGACTTGAACCAGATTCACTAGAACAAGCCATTTCCATTGCAGAACAGGAAGACTTCAGTCTGAGACAGGCTCGCGTCAGCTCGACATCACATCGTCCACCCAGACGATATGACAGCGGAGGTCCAGAGCCGATAGAACTCTGTTATGTAGAGAGCGAGAAGGCTCGCTCTACAGGCTACAAGAAGTTGCAGAAATGCAACAGATGCCAAAAGACAGGACACTACGCTTACGAGTGTAGTGCCCATCGTCCAGTGTCTCGCGACACTGGGCGTGGTGACCGTCCACCCATGGGGAAGGGGCAGGGACGAGGGTCCGCTGTTGGTGCAAAGACGCAACAACGGGATGGACCGTCAAAAAACGGACAGGATCAGTAGGTGCGGAGCACCCTACTGGTCCAGCAACGTCAAGAGAATTTGCAGGCCTCTTGATGAAGGTTGCTCCCAACACACAAACGTTGTGCGTTGCTGCTCTAGGTAATGAGGTCTCACTCATTACCTTGAAACTCGAAGTGACGAATAAGTTGTCCCTTCGAGCTCTTGTCGATTGTGGGGCGTCCAACAATTTTGTGCGACGCCAATCGCTAGAAGATGGTCACTTTAAATTCAGTGAATGTGACACACCTCCTACGAGGATGACGGTACGTCTTGCGACAGGCGCATCCGTAATCGTCATGAAGCGTGTAGTGAAGATCCACTATACGCTTGCAGATACCCAATATGACGACGACTTTATCGCATTGGATTTGGATGACAAATTTGATGTCATCCTTGGAATACCGTGGCTCAGAAGGTACGAACCACGGGTAAACTGGCAACATCGGACAGTAACGATGCCTGCCGCTTGTTCATCAGATGGCCATCTGATGAAAGTTTTGGAGCGTCCACAAGCGTGTAGATGTACTATGAAGGAGTGCGATGGCCTCATTTGTGGTACGGTAGTAGTACGACTGCACAAAACCTTAGTGTACCAAACGGTTACACTTCGGAGCAAAGTTCCGGCAGCTGTGAGGAAACACAGGCTGCGCCGAAGGGCCACCACTCGAATAAGTCGGGTGGACTGGGACAAAGATGTATCCCTAGCGGGGAACATCTAGAAGAGAAACAATCGATCGCTCAGGTTGGCGAAACGATAATCCTAGATCGACTGGAGAGTCTTTCGTAGAGGATCTCGCTGTGGTTGCGCAACCCCAGCTAGAGGAAGTTAAGGGAATAAGTCCCCAGGAATTGACAGAGACATTGAATGTCATAGTCAATAACGGATCAAGTGTAGGCGCTTATACACTTGATCTGATTGCGCCTCCGAAGTTAACTTCGGAGATCACTCAGTTGCCAACGCTCGAACATAAAAGGTTCTTGCGTGATCTGCGTAGTGGCAAAGTCAAGCATCTGCGTACTCGTCGCTGACGACGAGTGTGTAACCGACATTAGGTCAGCAACAGTGTTTAATGAGAACGAGAGAGTTCTCAGTAGTTCATCTATGGACGAGAGTGTCCTCGATGAAAAGACAAGAGTTGAGCGATATGACTCCCAATCATGGGAATCGCTCAAGAAAAATCCTCTCTATGAAGATTTGGTTGAATTCAAGGATGTATTCCCTGAAACTGTTCCGTGCGAATTACCGAAGGATAAAGGTATTCGAAACGAGGTCGAGCTTAAACCAGGCTCGAAGTACTGTGTCATGAAGCAGTGGCCACTGCCTCGTGAACAAGTACTTGCGATCGACAAATTCTTTGCCGATCGTTTAGCTGCGGGCCATGTGAGGGAATCAACTTCCCCACATAGCTCTCCGACCTTCTGTGTGCGAAAAGCAACAGGAGGGTGACGGATAGTGCATGCATTTAACAAGTTAAATGCTGCAACGGTACCGGCTCAGACGCCGATACCGAGGAAGGACGTAATCATTGATGGTATGTCAAAAAGTACCATCTTTTCGTCCATGGATTTGATGGATGGCTTCTATCAAATCCTTATGCGCGAACGGGATATACCCTATACCGCAGTTAGCACGCCTAGCGGCATGCTCTGGGAATGGCTAGTAATGCCACAAGGGCTTAGTAATGCCCCTGCCACGTTCAACAGATGTGTATCACATCTGTTGAGACCAGTACGAGAATTCGCACCGAGTTATTTTGATGACGTATTCATCCATAGTCGAGCTATGGATGGAAAGTCGGACGTTGAGGTTCACAGGTACCACGTCCGACAAGTTCTTACAATCATGCGAAAGCATCAATTGTATGCTAACCTCAAGAAGTGTATATTTGCAGCAAGCGAAATACCACTTCTTAGGTGCATCGTTGGTAAGAACGGTGTACGTCCTATTCCCGAAAAGATCAAGACGATCACCGACTGGCCTGTGCCGGTTGATGTCAAAGGTCTTCGAAAATTCCTTGGGCTAGCGGCGTATTTGCATAAGTATTCACGCAATTACGCCGAGATGACTGTACGCCTCTCTCGTTTGTTGAAAAAGAACGAGAGGTGGTTATGGAACGCTGAATGTCAACGCTCCTTTGATGGTATCAAGCAGAGCTTGATACAATCCCCAGTTCTAGCAATAGCCGATCAAGACAGGCCATTTCATGTGGTCTGTGATGCCAGCGATTTCGCAATCGGCTGTGCATTAATGCAGTACGATCCTGAAAGCGTTGAACGCGTCGTCTGCTATCAGTCGCGTCAGCTGCAACCAGCTGAGCGGAACTATCCAGTGCATGACAAGGAACTCCTTGCCTTGAAGTATGCACTCGCGAAGTTCAGAGTCTATCTATTAGGAGATAGACCCTTCATTGTTTACACTGACCATGCGTCATTACGCACGGCAGTGAACAGCCCGCACCGTTCACAACGAATGGCGCGGTGGTTGTCATTCTTTGCGGAATACAACTTTACGGTCGAGTACAAACCAGGACGACTTAATGTCGTCGCTGATGCACTCTCACGTCGTCCCGACTTTGAACCAGTCGCGAAACCCAACAGTGAGGCAGTCACTGTTGCGGTTATGACGTCCTCAGTCCCATCTACAACGTTGTATGATGATGTGAGGCGGGCATGCGCCCAAGTTGGTGAGATTGTGAAGTTGTTGACACATCTCTCCCAACCATCCCGAGAATCGTTGAAACGATTGTCGCCTGCGTATCGATCTGATGCAGATCGATACACTACTCGCAACGGGTTACTGTATTATACAGCCGTTTCTGGTGACACACCACGTGTTGTCATTCCAGATGATACTGATCTGCGTTTGCGGATCATGTTCGAGTATCACGATGCTCCTATAGAAGGACATCGTGGCCGTGAAAAAACATATATCACGGTGAGTCGAGACTTTTACTGGCCCCGCCAGTATCAGTTTGTGCGCAAGTACATTCGCGCATGCGAAGTCTGTCAACGAGTGAAGTCAAGTCCTTCACTGCGTGCACCTTTACAGCCTCTACCAGTTCCGGCTAAGTGCTGGGAATCCATCTCAATGGATTTCGTCTTCGGGTTACCCAAAGACGCACGCGGGAATACGGGTATTCTCGTATTTGTTGACAGATTCAGCAAAATGGTACACCTAGTGGCTGTACCAGAGTCAATCACGGCAAGTGGCTGTGCTTGTGTCTTTATTGACACCATCTTCCGACTTCATGGGTTGCCCCGTGAACTCGTATCAGACAGAGATCCACGATTCACTGCTGATTTCTGGCGTTCCGTGTTCAAATCACTCGGAACGCGATTGAAGATGTCTACATCTTATCATCCAGAGTCATATGGTCAGACGGAACGTGCCAATCGTGTCTTTGAAGAGATACTTCGGGGATACGTACACTCCTTTAAGAGTTGGAGTGAGTTTTTGCCAATGGTAGAGTTTGCCATTAACAACTCGGTGCATGCGTCCACGACACATACACCGATTTACGTGAATGGCTTGCGCCATCCGCGTGTACCCACCTTACTCGAGTGTAACTCTGGTTTAAAAGGGGGAGAGACTCGCGCTAGCAAAAGACGATTTGGTTCACGCTCATCACGCTCTGCCGAAGAAGTCATTGCGTTTGATGCCGATATCGATAACATCGATATCGAAGAAGATGATGCCAGTGAGAGTGCGGAAGCCCTCACTGAAGAAGATGATCCCAGTGAGAGTGCGGAAGCCCTCACTGAAGAAAAGGTTGATGTTGCTGCAGTGCGCTCACAGCACACTGAAGCTAACGAGTCATCAGATGAGTTCATACTGGATCGTGAAATGGTAGTCCGTTTTGTGCAAGACTCCATTACCGAAGCGGTGGATGAGCAAAAGCAAAACGCTGACAAGAATGGAAGGGCAAACACTCTTTTATTTAATAAAGGTGACTTAGTCCTATTGTCTACGGTTAATCTACCAAAGCATGTAGTGACTAACTTGGGTAGCAGTAAACTACTACCCAAGTACATCAGCCCTTTTCGTGTATTGCACCGCCTAGGCAATGCATACACGATCGAATTACCACGTAAGATGTGAACGCATCCCACGTTTTACGTTGGTCGGCTTAAGCCGTACCATCAGTACGCTGCTTCTTCCGATGAAGAACGCCCTTGCGCTCAAGCATCTCGCAGAGAGCCTTGTGCTCCCGATGGTGGGCATCAACAAGGGTCTGAAGAGCAGTTATCTCAGCCCGAGACTGGTCAATATCCACGCGAGCTACCATTAGCTAGTTACGCAGAGATATCAAAGCTCTCTCGTTCTCCAGCTAAGCGAAAGCATACTCAGCTCGATGCTTCAAGACATTGTCAGCCAGTTAAAGACGCCTGTCCCGCTCATGCTCGACGTCGTCGCGTAACGCAAAATTAACGCGATCAATGAAGCTCTCGGAGACACACGCTCCCCCACGATAGCTTGGAGAGCGTCTTTCCTCCTCCTCCACCTCCATTAGAGGACTCTCGCGGTGGCCAGCGCTATCTAGTTTAGCAGCTGTTGAACCACCGCGACGTGAACGGGCGTCGGACGAGTTATCTCGTCCGGTGGCGCGGCTATCCCCCGTCCTGATATACTTGGGAGCTCCGCTCCCAACTGATGGTTGACGTACTGGGTCTGGTTGAGCAGTACGACGCGGCACATCCTGTGCCGCAGAAGGACCGCCGGAGAAAGTCTTCCCGGCACGGTCGTAAAGGGATTTCAGGTTGTCAATCCCTTCGTACATCTCAGTAGAGACACGTACGCGCCACCACGGGCTGGTAAGGAGGTAAGCCTCCTTAGGTGCTCGTGCAGAGTTGTTCACACAACATGGGCACGAGTCTCCCCAAGAGAGGCAGGGTAATCCTTTCTCCCTTGACAGACGATGCAGCTTGTAGCGTGCACCTGTCGGGGTTCGCTTTTCAAACTTATCACGAGCTTTGATAAGTTTGTCGTTCCAAACGTCACGACCTACATCCTCGAGATTATGGATGTAGGCGTTCCACGCATTGAAGTAGTGAGGGACCATCACGTTTTTGATTCCCACTGTACCATCGATGTCTTAAAGAAAAGCATCGATGAAGAACTCATGTTCAGCGCGATAGTTTTTCGTACTGGGGTCAAGGTGATGGATCCTTGACGAATCGAATAATCGTGTTCGATAACGATCACTCGTCGTCGCCGACAAGTGATCCATGACGGATTTGGTAGGCATCCATGCCTTCTTTTCAGGAGCGAGACGCAACACATTGCGGTCCCGCTCTTCCTGCGACGTGCCGACAGAAGTACTGGCACCTCGCTGCGAAGTGGTGTCATTAGGAGAACCGGCAACACTGTTAGCGCCCGAGCCTCGCGACCTCGAGCGCCTTCGCCTTGGCGATGTTTCATCTGATTCGTCAGATGAACCAAAGATGCTACGACGCAAAGCATCATCCATGCCACGCTTGGCAGGCGGCTTGGTTTAAAACCGCCGTCGATACGGATCCGTCTTCCGTATCAGGAGAGTACGAGACACCGAGCTCGTACTCTGTGAATACATGAGTGTCTTCATGACGAGCGCCTGCATCACCAGGTGACACAGACTGAGTCGCTTCAGCTACCGATGGGACATCGGTTGCAGTGGTTTATGCTTCGACGTCCGCACAGAGACGTGCAGACGCGCTCTCAGCGGTCTTGTTCGCGCACCGCATGGGCTTGTTAACCATGCGATGAGAACTGTTGGAATGTGGACTCGGACCAACAAGTGCAAGCCCTATTCCAAATGATTTTGGGACGAGTATCCATTTATTCAATCAGTCACTATGGTGACTGATGGTTAAGAGGGGGTGATGTAACGGGGCGAACCATTACATAACAATTTATAAGAAATTGTTAATAGAACATAACTATAAGAGTTATATTCTCATAATATTGTCATAAGGACAAATATTCTGCAGCACTTACGAATAGTTCCTAATTGGTTGATATAGGCCATTATATCAACCAACGAAGACGCGCCACGACAGACGCACGCAATGAGTGGTGAGCAGATAGTTGATTTACACATTTGTATTTAGACATAGTTAGATGAAGATAAATAGTGATTTATTGCAGACATTAACTATTATAAATACAGTTCTACTTTTTACTTTAACCAAGTACTCGCTTCTTCTTACCGTCTTCCTCTGCACGTACCAGTGTACGTGAAGTTACGAGGCACCGCCTTATTCTGTCATCAGAATAAGTAGCTTGTACTGTCACCAGTACAAGCTTCAGGGTGCCCCGTTACAACGAGGGCTTCACGTCGTCGGGGATAGTAAGCTTATCCTGCAACACATGATCCGACGCAGCCTACCTAAATCATCCGACTACGACATATATATGAACAACGCCGCACCATCGCTGAAAGCTTCATATTGTACACTGGACACACCAGCTACGACACTTCCATAAAACGGATGATGCCCTGTCAAATATTGCTAAGAGAATCCAGGTCCTCGCGAAGGACTTCGCACAATTGACACCGATATGGCAAGTGGTTCTGGATTCTCTCGAAGGGGACATCAATCACTTTCCATGCATTCCCCTACGGGTCATCATGTCGAGAATGACGGTAGGCTACAAACTAAGGTATATTTGTTATCGCTTACGCTAACATTTAGATGTTGGTAAGCTGCTAGGAGGTGTGTAGGCTCCTTGTGGCTTGACATTGGCGAGTCGGTGGGCTTCTAAATGACCGTAATATACCTGAAAAACGCTTTGCCGTCACCATACCCAAAGCTATTCAATGCCTTTCGGACTCCGCCCATTTCCATGGAGGCTAACGACTCAGCTACACCTTTACTTTTCGTGGACATCATCAAGTGCGTTATGATTTTTATTATGTGGTCCGTTGTTCATAATTGCGTATCGGCCAGTGCCACAGACACAGTAACTCGAAACTGTCAGTTGTAAAAACCATAACTTAGGTCACAACTGGTCGAATACGGCGTTGAACGAGAGCTGGCAGATGTTGTAACTACGACTCATTGCAATTGCCGTGAACGTCTTTAACGTGTTGACCATTTCGGCATTGGTGTAGCTGACGGCAAATAATCTGAGCTCAGTGTCGTGTATTTTGTGGGGAACGACAAAGGTCTTGCTTCCTCTTCGCGCTGGAGAAAGGTGAACAACTTCCAAGCGTCTGTACATGCGTAGGAGGGTTCTTCACCAAAGTAGTTGTATGCGCCAAACTCAATAGCGGTCACGATATCTTGAAGCGACACTACATGACATCCGGAACAGTCATAACTTGACGACAAGCTGGAAGTCGTAAGCATGCTTGTCGGTGTGATAGTGAGTCTGTGACTTGGCGAAGCAGAGGAGATTCTGAGCGATGTAGATGCAACATATAGCGGCACGTTTCTCAACTTCTTGCCTTTCACGAGCATATTTGGGGCCATTGGATGTTACCGGTAGTCGATGGAAAAGAGTCGAATTGACGTTGAGGTACCATTGTAGCGCGTTCCGTTGCTACAAAACGGTCAACAAATTATCTTATGTTGAAACCAAGCGCATTTAAAGACGTTTGCATCATTGCAACTTCTTAAGCTCGAGATTGCAAAGTCCGTGTGCACTCTCCATCAGGCGTCGATAGAGAGTCATTGCATGGTGCCGTGCGCGTCTACGAAGACGTATTCACGGTGCTGTTCTGACGGACTCGTTTCCGGTGCATTTACTGTTTGATACTACACTGCAATCAGTATGGATGTTAACGTAAGTGCCGCATCACCTTTAGACGAATGTACCGACTCGCAGTCGTCACTGCCATCTGCAGAAAAATGTGAATGCGCATACGCAACTGTCGAAGGAATGCTTGTAACTCAGAAGACGGCATACATCACACACCTATAGGACACGACAATTATGCTGCCCAGTGAAATAGTGAGAGCAAGCTGACGTCACACATGAGAGCTGTACATGTTGAGTTCATCCAGATTTCTCGAAGAGATCCGCTACACTTTAGTTTCACCAACAGTGGCAGGTGCACGACTGCTACTGCATAATTGTAAGCAAATACGAAACGGCCATGTCGTCAAAATGACGAGCGCAAATGGTACTTTATTCATCTAGAAAAAGGGGGTCAGAAGTGTTTATTGTCAGCTTAGATGCTGTGACATCATTTTCATGGCAAAGCGGACCCTGCAAACAGATACACAACCCGGAAGGGCTTGAACGCTGCATCACCATGGTGACGTACAATGTAGCGGTTGTAACAAAGTCTTAGCAGCCCTCACCACCGGCGATGCCAAGGCACGACGTCGATGGCAACAACGCCAATAGAGTGACGACTAGCGAGTACACAAAGAGCGTCACAATGAACGCGAGAATGGCAGCACTCGCACACTTGGTGTATCCGCCGAAACTTCGAAGTTGCTGGGTATGTAGTTTCTGCTGCGGTAGGAAGTAGATACCAATGAGTGCCAACGCGTTGATGCCATAGTTCAGCAGCACCGTCAGCAGCACATCCGCGCGCACTTTCGGGGAATCCGATACGAATTCCGTGGGGTCGTAGAAGTCGGTGCCTCTGAACAGCCCGGCTGAGTTGGTCTGAACGAATATCAAGACCGAATAGTGCAGCGACATCATCAATCCAACGATAGCACCCTCCGAACCTTCTTGGATGATCTCCGTGAGCGGCACGATGGTTGCCAGCCAGTAGATACATGTTGCGATACTCGGGAATATGGTCATCACGCGGTAGAAATACGGGCTCCGTAGGATGTCCAGACTGACGAAGATAGCCACAATGCATTGAGAAATGACTAGTATCACGGTCGACATTGCGAAAAAGGTACGCCACGGTCGATTCATGAAGAAGTAGCGCCACACGACGACTGTCAACGACATCACACCGTAAGTCATGACTTGCTGCAGCAGCATGTTGTCATTGTTAACACCCGCCCAAAACCGAATGAGTAGATCGGGATCGCTAAACTTGATACTATTGAAGAAGGTGGAGATGCACAAGAATAGGAGAATGGTCCACACTGCTTTCTGCTGCATGACTTTCCACAAGATTTGGCCACGAGTCTTCATCGAAGTCGAGAGCGAGTAGTACTTTTCCTGCCAAACTTTCCACACGAGAGGGATCGAGAAAGCCACCAAGATGCCATACAAAGCCATCTCCGTACTATGGTAGATCGCACTGCTTCTGACAGCATACACACAAGTGTAGGTGACCATGCAAACCGCGAATCGAAACATGACATACGTCCCTATTATAGCGCCGCGCATAGCCAGCGATTCGCGCTGAGACAGCTCAATCACTCGAGTGCGAACGCACATGAACGTGACCATGTTTGCAGTACTAGCCACAGTTGCGAATGCAACGATGCCTACTACCAGGCCGGTGCCCCCCGTACCTTCTTCGAGGCCTTCTGCGTAAGCGTTCAATACTGAGAGGACGAAGTAGCACAACACAGTCACCATCAGACAGATGATCAAGTACGCTTTGCGGCGAAAGCCCATGATCGGGTAGCAGTCCGACAGCATCCCGAAGAAGAAGCAGAAAGTTGAAGGCATCGAAATCAGTCGTAGCACGGCTGCCAGCTCGGCTCCATCAAGCGAGAAATGATGCTTTAACATCGGTTCGATCACGCTATTCAGGCACTCTGTCGAAAACGCCGATGCAATCGTGGCCGCTACGATGCCGGCACATTCTTTCGAGAAGAACTTGACGGGGTCTCCTTTGCGGAGGCTCCCGTACATGTCACCCTCGTGCAGTGATTGACTCGCGCCGGTTTCCAGGGTTGGACTCCCGAATTCTTTGGTTGCATGTGGAGACATTGCAGCGTCGATGGTGCAGTCGGGTAAAGGAGGCGAGTGGTAGTTTTGAAAACCCGCCGCTCCGTTCGAAGCCAACTGCATGGTCGTACGACTGATATGTCGTAGTAATGAATCCTCTTCAGTGTGCCAGAGTTGTGTCTCTTAGCTGCGAAGTTGATAAGTGATCGCGGTGGTTAGTGTGGCTTCTGGTGCCGATGGAGTCGTGTAAGTCGATAGCCTGGGAATGTCTAACGCACGTACCGCATGGACTTGCGTGAAGAGCATAAGCAGATGGATCTAGTGCTATATCGTATAGGTCGAGCTATCGATCGGTGCGTAACACTGGTGAAGTGTCCTCTACCATACGGTCGACTGGACTCTTGTAGGCACCATTTTACCGCGTCACGAATCAGGCAGAGGCTATGATCAGTTGAGCGTGACAATCAGCTATCAACTGTACGAAGGGCTTGTCTTGGATCGTATTGCTCTGATAATAGCTGCGCGTTGTCATTTGTTTACGGTAAGAGCTACAAGGTGTGACGAAACGATCTGTAGTCAGACCGATGTTGTTTCTGAGCGTAAGGGGATTGATGGTGTGACAAAACGGTTGTAAACACACTGACGTCCGTATGGAGCCCCTGTCGTAGTGGGTACCCGCTACGAAGCATGTGGGGTCCGACGATAATGTACTATCGTTTTTATATAGAGTATGTTCACAAGTCGCAGAGCTCCGGGTACGATCGCATGGTCACAGTTCGAAGCACATCGCCTACCCACTGCAGTATGAACTCGCCTTCAAGCAAAGTGATCCACCGCTTGATGTGCTAACACGCACGAAAAGGGGAAGATCTAGAACCGGCTGGCTTTCAGGCCCTCTGAAATTGGGTATCCTGTTTCGTGGCAGTTAACGCCACAGACATGAGCTAGCACAATGAACTGTAGCTAGCTCATGGGAAGTGCGTGTCCGATCTGATCGGACATCAGCTGACTCGCTAGCTTAATAATAGTACGACGTACCGCACCAAAAATGATTCAAGTGACACGGCAATGATGCGACAATGACAAAGGTTCAACGGTAAAGCGTACCCTCGGACATGGTACGTATTGATCATCGAAATAGGTAACGGAAAATGAACTGGTTGTGAGTCCGAAGGGCGAAGCTATTAGTGAGTGTGCGCAAGGTTGAATGCCGAGCTTTTGAATCGTACTTATCCGTGTGTTTGTAAATAACGAGGTTCGGTGTACCTTACTCGTACTAAATACGATCCAGCCTGCCCCCACTCATAGGTCGATTCTCATGAGAGGTGTCACTCTTGGGCGAGGTCAACATTGTGATGCACGCATGTGATTGGCTTAAAACCGATCACAGGTGATTATGATCACATGAGCAAATGCTAGACGCTCAGAAGCAAAGGTTGATCGCGTTACCCAAGTATGCGATACTGAAAAATACAGACATTCATAGCATCATATTTCTGCTTCAGTCACTGCTGCTGTTGGATAATGTTTTGCAACTTGATTCAGTTCTATGAACTAATTACTTCTATCAAAGGAAGAGCTCCAGAGCTTGCTCTCGTATCTCATTGACGTACCTGATACCTCGGACGTTGCTGTCCGAGATGACTCGTGTTCGGCCGAAAAGCGATCGTTCAATTCCGTTTAATAATAAAAAAGCGATCGTCACTTGCCGGTAAAGCTGCAGCGGTTGCATGCCGTTGGTTTGTGCATTTAGTCTAGTTGAGCTCCGCCTTAGCTTCTATCAGCGATATTAGGCAGAACATGTGACAACGAACAACGACGTTTGCCGAAGTCAGCTTGGCCTCCAACGGACGATTTAGTCGCTGCAGTAGCCTTCTCTTCTCGCCTATATCATCCAGGCTAGACATATGTACGACGAAGTGTACAACCCTTGATTTGCCTTCGATCGAATTGTCTGGTTGCCGTTATACGACCAAGCGAGGTTGCTGTCGTTCGGCAAACGGTCGCTGCGATAATAGAACAATGTCTGACGATATTGTACTTGCATCGGAGCCACTCGGATCGGGACTAAAGAATTCGCTATGCTTTATGGATCGCCGGTATGCATATCGGCTCTCAGAGCATGGCTGCTGTGTGGTGGTCTATACGAGCGCAACAAGTACGTGCTTAAAGGTACTTGGTTGCAAGGTGCTGTTTGCTTGGTGCTTGAATTGGCGACACTTGTATGGATGGTAGATTCCTTATTTCGCGGTTTACCACGGACCCTTGGCTTGTAGGTTCTCAGGGCACCCGAGTCGTTGCACTGTGCCACGTTTACTGACTCTCGCAATTGCGTCGTAATTTGGACCAGCGGTGACCCATTGCGATCGACACTTACGCGCTTGACAATCGCTGAACTTCAGCACATTAGTATGCCTCACGTAATGAAGCAAGCATACACCACTGTAATATCACAGGATTCATCGTAAATAACTAGTTCTTGCCTACGTCTTGGCGCGTCTGTTTTGTTCTTATATCCGTCTTGGTAATGTTAAAGGCGTTTGGCACGCCGGTTCGCAATCGATATGCTTAATAGTGGCGACGTAACCGGAGACGACTTTTTCAATGGTGTTACCAGTCGTCGTATAACCTGCCCGGTCTTTCGATTGTATCCCTGCTTCATCGTACGCGATCAGTTTTAGGTGTGACACAGTGAGGATAATGACAGCCGAGCATTTTTTTGCGACTTCACCTGCGCCAGAGCATCCATTGCTGCTAATCATTGGTAATAACGCACTGTTGATGTCTTTTGCTTGTCAAAGGGGACATCACGCAAAAGTCAGGGCAACGTGATCAAAGCCGACTTTTTAAATGAGTTACAATGGTGTAGCTTAGGAAAGATGTTGTCAGGTGATGCTAAAAGCAGCACTCGAACAGGATCGAAAGACTGGCCGAAGCGATATCCGCCTCGCTTGCAACATTTTCCTTCACTAGCATATGAATACATCAACTTAGGTTGATAGCTCACAAACATCTACGTGACTGCAAGGGCAGCGATATAGGTTTTCCATGTCAACAACAATGTAAGATTTTTCGTGCAGTTTAGTGCAGCCACATCGATGTCCCCTGCTTTCTATGACATACGACACGAGTCCAACTATGCGTGCAGTTTGCAGCGCATGACTACCAATTCAAAAGAATTGTGCAGCCGTCTTCCGCTTCGTGCCCGTACTCGTCTTGTGTTTCGTTCTCAACTGCTTTGACGCGTCTGGCGGCGACGTTGTAACCTTCAACACGCTCTTAACATCGTCCATATCCTTCGACACGACACCACGCTTAGCTGAGGCCTTTAGTCTCTTGATCGACACTTCGTGTCGCAGCACCTTGCTCTTGCCGAATGTCACCTTTTGCTCGACTCTATCTTCTCTTGTTCCTCTTGTGCGACATGTGCTTGTGGCTCGGCCTTCCGCTTTTTTAAGGCCGATGCAGCCTTCTTTCTTTCTGCCTTTTGACTGCGTTCGCAGTGACCACACCGAATCTTGTCCTTTGGCACCAAATCCTTGCCAAAGCCGCCACACGAACTGCATCGCTTGAGCTTTTTGCCACTCTTCGTAACGAACACCTCCTTCTTCACAGCTTTTTCCTCTGTTTTGTTCTCCAAAGACTTGCTTCGTGCGGACAAAGCAGGTTCCTCCTTCACAGCCTTCTCCTCCACTTCTTGCTTCGTCTTTGCCTGCGTCTTCTTATTCTTCCCGGTAGGGATGGCTGTCGCGACGGCCTCACTCTTCACCTCAGTGACATGCTCCTGCTTTGTGGCTTCCTGAGAAATAGTCGATGTGGCTTCCTCAACCTTCACGCCGATGCCACACTTCTGCTTCTTGGTCTTCTTTGTCAAGGACTTGACCACCTTCTCACTGTTCACCGCAACTCCAACCTGCGTGACTTCCGTCTTCACCAGATCCTTCACCTTCGCGTCCCCCTCAGCCTCGTTTTTGATCTCCCGCTTCTTAAACTTCTTCGATTTCTTCCGATCCTCACCCCCCGCCTTCCCGACGTCCGCACACTCCTTCACAGTCTCCCGTGCAAGAGGCTTCACTTTCTTTTCTTTCTCCTCGATGTCCACAATCTGCTTTGCCTCCTCCCGGGCAGCCTGAAACGAGTCAATGTGCGTGGTAGCATAAAACTTCTTGTACAGAGTGTAGAGCCCCGAGCGGTTGCATTCAGCCGTTTCATCCGCTGATGCAATGGCAAAGATCCGGTGCTGCACTTGGGCGACCTCCACCTGCTCGAACCTTTTCTCCTCCTCTTCGTCGCCCTCTTCTCCGTCCGTCTCCTCTTGACTGTCATCAATCTTCGTCTCCGACAGCGGTCCACACTTGAACTTGGTCAGCAAATCTTCAAACACGGACTCCCGCACGCGCTTGAACACCATCTTGTCATACTCGCTGCTCAATAGCGTAAAAAATGGCTCGAGCAACGCCACGAAAGCTCCGGTCGTAATCTCTTGGCCGACGGCATTGTGCATCTCGATTAAGTATACATCAGCCAAGTGCAGCCGCAGTCCATTGGGCAATTGACTCACAATCTCCGTCGACACGATCGCGACAAACTCGTGGACCCATTTCTCATCCCAATGCTGAGCGCGCAAAAGCGCAACAGTCTCGCGCACGAATTTGCGGACGAGCGAGTAGAACTTGTCCAGCCGGAGACCGTCCAGTCCGTGCCATTCTCGATGCATGGTCCGAAAAAAAGAGTGCACAAATTCAAGGGCCAAGTCCGTGGTCGGGATGCGGTGCACCAGTGCCGCCAAATTCGACGACAGCTCTTCCTGCACCGGCCGTTTGTCGCTCATCCACATGCAGTAGAAAAGCGCTTTCCAGAGCTTGTCCCATTCCAGCGCTGTCCACCCGTTTTTGGACGTTAAGTAGACAGTCAACTTTTTCAAGGCACGGTCACGGTATTTTTTCTCTACGACAGAAACATACGCCCATGGCAATAGAATACGGAAGCAAGATAAAACGGTTACTTCAATCATTCGACAGAATGCCGGCAGAAGGTACAGCGACAGTGCAAAACGTGCTTCGATTTTTATTGCATACAAAGCTGTTGGTTGCACGGATGTAAGCGTACCAGTGTGAGCAAGGTGCTGGCCAAAGCGAGAGGCGGCGTTCTCCATGCTCGCCAAACGTGCTGAACAAACGTCCTGAGCAATCAAGTGAATGGCGGCTGGCTACTTGATGGGCAAAAACGAGTGGCTGCGCGTTGACAGCACGTTATGATTGGCTACAGCATGTTTTGTGGTTATTTGTACCAATCAGAGCTAGTGTTGCACATCGACTCGTTGATTGGTTTATAATGCTCCCTCATGGCAGCTGCTTCTACGCAATCAATACCTTTCGAAATGGAAGGCGAGCTCTGGACGCGCGAAGGGCGCAGTCCAATGCTACGAGGTTGGCACAAGCGCTACTTTGTGCTGTCTAAGAGAAGTGGGACACTATGCGAGTATGTGCTGGACGCGGACACGAAACAAAAGCTCGTGGCTCGTGCGCGTCGCGCGTCGTCTGGGGCGTCGTCCACCTCGTCTGCGTCGTCACCTAATCGCAACCACAACCGCAGCAGCACAAGCAGCACCAATGGGAGAACGCTGCGTCGAGAACTGGCTGTTCGTGGCTCATCTGTCAAGACGTTACCCTTTCCTCTGGTCGGAAAACAGCATGCGTTTCAAGTGACCCTCGTGTCGCAGATTACGTCATCAGCAACATGGTCCCCCTGTTCGGCAACGGCAACTGCAACAGCAACGGCAACTTGTGTGGCAATCAAAGTGGTTCTTAGTGCGCGTCAAGCTGACGACATGCGTCAGTGGATCACCGCACTCAAAACCGCTGCAATGAACGTGGTCGTCGGACCTGATCGACGACCATCGAGTCCTATTGGCTGGAATCATCGAAACAGCGACGAGACGACAATCGAACCACCGACACCGAGTGACGTTGTTGAAGTACCGAGGCCCCAACGTGCTGACATGGCGCTCTTGAGTTCCGTCTACGAGTGGATCCACGAGGGCTGCGTCAAGACGTCACAGAGCCTCCTGGTCGCTGGTGTCCACGTCCCAAGCGGGTCCTTGCTCGTGAGCGTAAACGGCGTCCTGTTGCGCACATTACCGCCCAGCGTCGTGCGCAAGTTACTGCTGGAATCTACCGGTCCATTACCGGTATCGCTTCGGTTTTTGCGCGGCCCAGCAAAAACCGGTGTACTCGGTGCAAAGTTGTCGACGGGCCCATTGACGCAGTTGCAGTCGCTCGCATCGCGGTATCGGACCTCAAGTCGCAAGTCCGACTGGAACTGGACCGAGCACGTTGTCCACTTGTCTGGCAACGCACTGACTTGTCAAGTGAATGTAGCCACTCCTGCTGGCGCAGCCGTCGAGAAGAGCCAGAGCCGGGCTTTGTCGATGAAACGCAAGTCAAACAAGACGCTGAAGCGCGCGTTCCTGCTCAATAGTCGCAGTTCCGTCCAGTCTGTACGCGACCGGACCGCCGAGCGCCCGTTTTGCTTCACAGTGACGGTCGACACGCACGCGCTGGTCTTCCGAGCGACGTCCGAGTCGGATCGACGAGCGTGGATTGATGCTGTGCGACGCGCCATCGCGATCGCCGAAGGAGTTGAACCGGGAGCAGTTGCAGCAGCTGCACGCGAGTCTTTTGACGTGGATACACTGCAGCTGCAGAGTGCGATGAATATGCGACACGTGGACGACCAAGTGTTTGCTGATGTTGAGGGCAGTGACGGTGCCTTTTTTACTACAGACGACGACAAGGACGGGGCAAACGAGGCTGGAGCGAGTGCAGTACCTGCTCCACCGTTGCTGCCGTCGGCGGAAGACTGGACAAGTGCGACCAAGTCGGCGGCGTACTTACCAGGAAGTGAACTCACGGAAATGCTGCGGATCCTGCAATCGAGCGGCCGGTTTATCGAAGCTCTTCAGTTGATACAGAAAAACACAAGTTTACGCTCCAAGTACTGGCAGCAGATTTTCCAGTGGGCGTTGGATCCTGCGCGTGCACTCGACGAGCAGAAGGAGGGGTTTCAGCAGCTGATCGGCACAGCGCTTTCCGAAGAGTACGCTTTTTCTGTGGCATCTTGCGTATGCTCACGAGATGTGGCTAACACCGTGAGTTTGTGCATGTGTGTTTTTATCTCTTTTTTTCCAGAGATGACTTGCAAGTGCAAAAAGACATTCCCCGGACTGCAAAGTGGCTGGCTGGTTCGGCTGGTGCACCGAAGCTTGATGATGACGAACGTGCCGTCCGGTTGGAAAGCTTGGGACGTGTATTGCACGCTTTCTTGTCTAGTTGCTCATTAGATGTGCGAACTGATGAAAATCCGCTGTCGCCTTCGTCTACTAGGTTGTCGACGTCTCCGTGTTTTTACATGCAAGGGATGAATGGGCTCGCCTTCATCTTGCTGGAAGTATTAGAGAGCGATGAGATTGAAGCTTTTCGATTCCTTCGTGGTATTATAGCTCGGATCCTACCGCACGTGTTCGGCATTTGCTGTGACGGTACTGGACGCGACCACTTTGACCTTTTCCGATCGCTTGTCGAAGTTGGTGACGTGTTGCAAGAAGTGGTTGGTCTACATCTGCCGTGCTTCCACGCAGCCCTAGAACAAGCGGGATTGCCCGTGTGTTTATTGGCATACAAGTGGTTTCCGACGCTATTTTCGGACGTGACGTTGACAGCATCACACTCCCAACTACGCTTCGATACGCTGATGTGTTGTTGGGACGTGTGCCTGTTGTTGGGACTCGAAGGCATGTTCTGCGTAGCGTTGGCGCTGTGCAGCGCCGCTGAAAATGATGTTCTCGCATTAGCCGGATGTGGCAGTACTGTTAGTAACAGCGCCGAGCTGGTTAGTGCGGCGGTGGGACGGTCGCTGGCGCTCTTGTCGCCTGAAGATCTGGTCACGAATGTTTGCGAAGTGCTGGAGCTGTGTAGTCACCCGGTAATGCTTAAGCTCCGTAACGCGCACCGCCGTCGACTGAAGCTGGGATACTCTAAAGTAGGCAATGGTTTTGCTACGTCAAACGCTAGAACTTCACCGGATCGTATTGTGAAGAAAAAGCCTTGCGCTGTGCTGCCACCTATTGTGGTAACCGATTTGGATTCTGGCAAGGTATTTAAGATCTCGACGTCTGGTCGGATGTTGCCGTCGACGACAGCTACGCAGATGAAATGACTGCAGCACCCAGAACATGTTGATCGCAATGGAAGAAGTCGATTGCGCATTTCTCAATGTAGTGACTCTGCGATCGTCGTGGTAATGAGTTGCCAGGTGGGCCAATGGCGCTTGGTACTGCACATAATTTTGTGGACAATGCGCTTTATTTAAACGGTTTCGCGTGTGAAACAGGACAAAGATGTCAACTAGTCTTTTGGAAAAGATACGAAGTGCTTTGTAGAGGTGCTGTCATCATCGACGCGGTGATATTTTGCATATCGCAGGTTTTTTGCTGTGGACTTGAGATGCTGGGAATACAAGCTTATCTATGAACGTACGGCCTTGAGTTTGCGGTGCATCTTTGAAGAGCGTTGTCACGCTCGGGATGAGATGTCAAGTGCTTTCGTTGTAAGGGCACAACAACACGAATGTATGTTCACCAGCGGCTGTTTGCAATAAGATTGCAAAGCCTGTTCTTCGCAGCTTCACGTAATTTCTGTGGCCATCAGTCGACCTCCTCATTTCAAGATCAAGGAGACAAAGCCGTGTAAGTATGTACACATGACACTTCGGTGCACCTTGGATTCTAGCAAATTTTATCTGAGACTGACGGTTCCTAGTATATCCCATGTGGTGAGTGACGATGCCATCGAGCAGAGACTCCTCGCGATTTCACAAAACTGGTAATAATGAGTATCCTGAAGTCGACCACGATCTCCGGTCTGCATCGAAAGCAAAGGATGATGGAGAGATAGCTGCGGGTATCCTCCAGGGACCTATTGGACATCTCTGGATCATTTGGACCAGGTTCGGCTGCCACCACGTGGTTGGCCTCAAATATGCCTTAGGTTTGTTGCTCCCAGTTTTGGCCCGGATAGGGGCAAAGCTGTTGTTGCTCGTCCTTCCTGTGTCCGGAACTCAGAATCGGTGGTCAAAGTACTCCTGACAGTCATTGGGAAGCTGCGTGTGTGTCGAGTTGGCCGTGGAGTCAACGAAGGGACTTTACGCGGATTCTTTGCGCGTAGTGAGAGCCGGGCATGCACTGTGCGACTTACGCTCTTATTTGGTTTATTCGGGATCGCCTTGATCGATGTACCATGTGGCTGATAAAACGGTGTGAGTACACCGCAAGGATTGGGCTGAATGGCACCGGCGCTGCTGATCGATTTGTCGCCTACAAGTTGTGTGTTATGTTACGTGTTGCTTTCTCGCGTAATCATGTGTCTCAACACCTATCAATAGCTTGTTTGGGACGCGAGACGAAGTTGACCGCAAAGTTATCCGTGCAAGCTTACAATTTGCTTCTGGTCATATGTCGTTTATTGGTGGGTGGAGTTCCGTGAGCGAAACGATATCTGGGGAATATGTATCCGGCTGCACGACAGCGTCGGTGTAGGAGTATCGGGTTTCTTGCTCGGTGCGAAATAGCATGCAGCGTTCACGTCGTACCAATCACCCTATTGGGCTAATGCCACTTTGGTCAACACCGCTACCTCATTGCGTCGCTTCTCCTATTTTGCGCCAAGCTCTCGAGTGGTCGACTGGTACCGCTGCACAAAAGCCTTGCTGGAACTCTTGTCGTCACAGCCTGGATTACGGCGGTAAGCACCATCATCCGGACTCAGCGTCAGATCTCCTTTGCGGCGTTAGATCTCTTTTGCAGCGTCAACTCGGCCAATGAAACCAAAGAGACGCATAAGCCCTCTCGTCAGATGGGATTGCTTGGACCAACATGAACAAAATCGGCCACAACATTTATTCTGCAATCTCACATGTGATCGTTGAAGCCGTGGTCGCTAGAGTTGAACTCTCGGTCATTAGCCCAAATGCGTAGTCCAGAGAAGAGAAAGCTTCAGCGCGGTTTAGACTGGAGTGTTGTGGTCAGCAGCATCGTACCAAAGGCGGGCGCTCAGTTTGTCTTTCGTTTCTTGCGTGTAGAGCGCCGCAACGGCGACTTTTCACCACCATCGTTTTCAGACGAGACCGTGGCAATCGACCGACTTTTGCCCGTTGGCTCAGCTTCGCCCACCTCTCTCTTGGGTTTAGCACCAGTCTTCATCTCCGCCTCTCTCGTCTGCTGGAGTGCCAGCTTCTGTGCCGCAGCAGTGCGAGTAAACGCAAGGGTACAAGTGCTCGAAGCTGCTTTCGAGTACTTGTACCCTTCCAAGTCAAAGCCCGTGATGCCTGCGACCGAGTCCACCTGTTTCTGAATGAGGTAGCGGCACATGAGCCCTCGAGCACGTTTGGCGTACACCGGCTTGATCTTCCCATCATCTTTGAACACGCATTCGACAACCGAAATGCCCGACGCTTCAAGTGCCGAAGCCGGTAAACACTTGAAATACTCTTGCGACGCGATGTTGATCAGCACTCGTTGTGGCTTCGTGTTGTCGGTGGCCTCTTGGTCACGAAAGAGAGCGTCCAATTCGGAGACTAGAGTATCTCCCCAGAATGCATACAGGTCTTTTCCTCTGTTGGTGATCAACTTTTGACCCATTTCTAGCCGATACGGCTGGATCAAATCGCAGGGTCTCAGGATCCCGTAAAGACCGCTCAAAATACGGACATGGGTCTGGGCGAACTCGAGGTCCGACTCCGATAGGTCATGGACCTTCAATCCTTGATATGCAGGGCCTTGAAACGCAAGCGCTGCCTGTTTCAGGGTTTTATTCGGTTTTGAAGCCTCGGTGGCCGTTTTTGACGTGTCAAAAACTTGGAACCTGTCGAAATTGAGTTTGCCCAGAGCATCGCTTACCCCTAATAAGGCCTTGACCTCATTCTGCGATAAGCTTCGTAGCTGCTCAATCAACTCGTGTGCACTCGAAAGAAGGCGAGGTTGCGTGCATTTCAGGATGCACGAAGGCGATAGGTCCAAAGTCTTGGCTGGAGACAGCACATATACGAAGCGTGCAGACGGCATTCGGCACAAGTAAATGCGCAGGTGCTTACTTTAGGAGTTTCGTGTGTGGATTTGATCACCAGCAATCATTGGTCGTCCAAATTCTGCGTACATTTCGAGATCCCATCTGTAAAGCCAACGGTTACATTGTACGATGAAGTTGGAACTCGAATCGTACAATCCGAACCGTTTGCCTACAGATAAGATTAGGCATCGCTTATGTTTAGTGCCACACGTAGTAAAAGAACGACTAAAACTTTCACATGATAATGCTAGCCGTCGCACAGTGCAATAGTTCTTGTATTCGTAGCTTGTCAGGGCCCTGGCACATATAACTTTACGAGACACCCCACTCATCCACAACTAGCCCATTCATTACCAATGCCACAAGGTTAGGAGACCGAATGGTAGTCCTCACTCATTCACAGCCTTCGAACAGTAAGAAATTGCAGCGTGAAGTCACCAAACAAAAATGTCGAGGAGCAATGCCGATGCTCCGCTCAAAACTGGGACGACATGACGCATCGCTTTGCGTCCAACGGCGCAGGTTTTAGCAGATGAAAGCGATCAAAGTCGACGCACAGACCTTTTGGAGTCGTGACTACACAGCGTTCGAATGTAGCATCCCACGCAATGTCTTCATCAACGTATGAATAGCGCGCCTGCATTGTGTTGGACGTGGAGCTGTCAATTCCTTCCAAAATCGCGACAACCTCCAGCTTGCTCTTGCACAAATGATTCATGATCTGCAATTTCGTAGGCGCTTTGCACACCTTGGCAGCACCAGGTAAACCGCCTTCGCGGCTTCCATTGTCAATATCTACTTGACGTTGAGTAGGATCCGGGTAAGTTGCGCAAGTCTTCGGGTCTCTACCATCCGCTGGTAGACATTCTGGCGGAAATAGTGGGCTCCACTGGTCGATTCGGTGCACAACTACTTGAGGAAGTACCATGAGTAACATCGCGCCACAGTCATCGTCAGGCTGCTGCACTCGCATCTGGTGGCACTGAAAAAGAAAGTCGCTATGGCCATCCACTTCTTCATCTTCTGCTTCGTGCCGCACAGCATAGAGACGGACATGCGCCTCCACAAGCTGGTGCTTACGTCGCTCGCACGTCTGGAACATGAAATAGTAGTGTCCGCGGATCTTGCGAATCACTGCTGAGTTCGAAAACATGATTGTATTCGCTCGTTGCTACAATAACGGAACAAACAGCAGATCGCGTTAGGCCAATAAGCAAAAAAGGAGAACAATGAATCGCCGTGGACGCACATTAGCACGTGCGAATCGCGCATAGAAAATGCCGATACAGACGGAATCCAGAATAATGCCAGCAAAAGACTGCAATCAACCAGCAAGTGTCAGCCAAGTGGGTTAGTACAACTACAGTATCAAACCACAAAAATGCGTCAAACCCGCCTCAAGGGTCAGCAATGTAGCAATGGACGAGCAGCCACCATAGAAAATATCGTTCGTAGGTGCACCGTATCCAATTGTCATCTAAGCACCAAAAAGAAGATCAGCTGTGATTTTCTGAGCCAAAAAACATAACCAACTTTCTCGACCAAGACTCACAATTGTTTCAAGCGAGAACACATAAGCGTCCATGATGCTCGAAAGTCCCACATGACACGTCGGGTATCGCACCGAGACGTTTAGATAGGCCAGTGCAAAGAGAAGGATGATGATAAAATACTGCAACAAATGACAAACGTGACAATAAAATACCAACATGTCAGTAATATATAAATACACACCCAAAAAGAAAATTTAAAATTGAAAGAATATATTTCAGCACGACTTGAGAAGAAGAAAATAAAATACGCCGTCACCACTTACGGCTACGAAGACACCAACGACGATCCTTGACGTGCGCGTATTGATGACGGTATGGAATGGATCGTCCCAGTAGATTCTACGCCAATGGCCACCTTTACGATAGATACTGGATGTGGAAGTAATTTATCAAGTTGGTAAAGTATTGTTCCCGTACGTAAAGTATACCTAACACATATTTATCCGTACTTAAAGCGACCGTGAGACTGGTTGAAGCGACCCTGACGGTCCAAGAAACGCGTACGTTCGATTCCACGCGTCTGTCGCGACGCAGAGCTCGTGCCTGAGGCCACAGACAGCAGCGGCTGCTCGACACCCGACATCTTGGGTGGCTTCGTCGAGCTGTCGATCTTTACCACAAATGGGTGGCTCCGATTGGCTGATATTGGCGTGCTTTTTAAATAAAATGGGGAGGATGACATGGCTGCAGCTTGGGTGCTCGGTAAACAGCGTCCGTCTGTGAAGTAACGGTTGGTTTTTCAAAAAGGGTGAGTACGAATTATCTTCGGCTCACGTTGATTGAGATCGAAAATGACCATCAAGCTTTACACTTTTTCAGGCGTTTTGCTTCCAGTCTATTTTTTCTTAAACATAATAAGTACAGCTGTGTCGTGACATTTTCTTTATCGATATGTATTTGCGTCGCCAGGATGTCGGTTGGTGGTACTTGCGATGAGATAAGCTCTAGTCGTCTGATTGCTGTGGTGCCATGGATAGTGATGTCAGGGCAGCCAGTGAGTACAGTTAGATAAGACACACATCGCCATTTGTGACCGCTTGAATATGCTCTCAAGTCGCTGACATAAATGCTGATCTGTTGGTGCAGACGATCATGTTCAAAAGACGACAACATACATCTACGCCCAGCGCAGATATCGACGTAAGCTGAAATATGTTCTGCCTGATGCCGCCTTCTTGCTGTGTACAAAATCTGGCGAATGAATCGAAGACCTTTTTGCATAAAACGACGAGGTTTACTACGATGATTATGCAAACGATATTTTATGGTATCTACAGACCATATGCTGTGACGTAATCCCCAGTATATGTGACTAGTTATAAATACTGTAAATGCAAATACTCAAATTTTGTCTTTGTGATATTTAGTATTCACATATGCGTCAAGAAGGAAAGTGGTGAAATACTTGTGGAAGGACTTGAGCGCAAGGCGATAGAGATGCAGCAGGTGCATGATAAAGATCTCGGGATGCTGCTGAAACGCAAGGCCACTTAAGTTCTATGTATAGTGCGCATCGTGATTGAAGCTACGAGAGCGCGATGGCATATAGGCTGAGGCTTAAGAGGAGAAGGAATGCGCCACTTTTGCCCATGCTCGCGACCCGACGCTCTACTTACTGAGAAAAGCAAAGTCTGTATCCTCGTAGCTACATAATTATTTTGTCTAACGATGGTAGCTCCTTAGTTCTACAGATACTGGTTAATTTTTCTGACCACCAAGTTGAGCACCCTGATGATTACGAGGTATCGTCGTACAAATAACAGCTTCAATCGAGTTGACGTCAGAAGCGACTCCTATGATCACAGTGAGTGTTAGTAGTGACTCGGCACAGAATCTAACCGAAACATCATATGATAGTGTGGTTTAGTGTAACTAGAACAGCTGAATCCAAGCACAAGACTTTGCTCGTACTTGTGCTACTGCGGCCCAATATCAAAAAGCTTTCATTGCCAGCCATTGTCAATTTGATTTTTGGTTAATCTGGAAACATGCTAGGCACAATGCCTGCTGACATATGCTCGATCGAAGTTGGGATGAAGTGTACCCGTGAAATGACACTTGTCAATTTGAAGTCATCACGAAGGCGTAGTCGTACGCGTCGCCGCGCTGGCACAATCCATCACCTGTATCTTTGACCACAAAGCACTATCTAATTCAAATCGGGAAGAAGATTCAGAAAGGATTCCATGTATAAGAACGGTCATGTAGTCGAGGCTTGGACAGTTAAAGAAGCATAAAAACGAAACGATAAAACGATGAAGCGTAATAACACTTGTTGTCACAGACGTATCTGTGTTGGAAGTTTGCGGCGACCTAAATTTGCCTAATTGAGTCTAATTCCAGGCAATTGCAGCCTTTTTGGGTGAAACTGCCGGTGACGGAACAGTGAGGAAGCGGCGGACGAGTAATTCCCAAATTTAAATGGCGTTTAGATGCTAGTAAACAAGCTGATAGCGTTATCGTGCATCAACAAATAAGCAAAGACAGTTCGAAACCAAATACGTCTATATCATAGCCGAAGGGTAAAGCTGCTAGCGACTGGGCGCAAGGTGAATACCGAAATGTTGACATCTACTTTCTGTTTATGTGTCAGTCTGTAGATAATGCTAGAAGTATCTTGTTCGTCGTATAAAGCTAGATGTAGTCAGCCTCTTCTGTGTATGTGTCTGTGAATCGCGCTAAGTGTACCTCACACTTCGTACTAAGTGCGATGCAGCATCATGTCCTGTGTGTGCCTGTGAATACTCCTAGGCCTTCGGAGGCATTATTTGGTACGCCTTGGATATTGTTCTGATGCATTTTGGGTCGGGTATACTGTTCGGCGATGGATTAATTTTTTTAGTCCTCTATCCGGCACCCTCGCTCTTTGAAGATTAAGGGGAAGTCTTTGGCACCGATTAAAGTGGGGGGGCGGGTATTCGCCAGGGTGACCCTCTTTTGCCGGCACTTTTCTTTCTCTCTATTGATTCGCTAATCAACGGACCATGCGTCAAGCTTCATGATCGGGGTATTCAGTTTGGGTCTTCCACAAACTCGGTCCTCAGTATTTTTAATGACTGTAGCTGTCGATTGCACGATCTCAACCATGCTGAGGACTTCCTCGGTACGCAGACGACCTATGTTCGGCGTCGGGTATGCGTCGAGATAAGGCTAAGACTGTTATGCTGCCATTTTGACCCTGGTATGCTTCTTTCCAGCCTGTCCGTCCAGACCTCAAATGTTTGGGTTTTGACGTCGCTGGCAATTCTGGCCACACCGGATTCATTATAATCTACTATGGGCCCAGTCTGACTCATACTGACCGACTTTTCCATTTACTCGTACGCATGCGAAAGCTGTGTACGATTTGGTCTAATCGAGGTCGCATTCTTCGGGAGTAAGAGGTCGTTTGAAGTAGGAAGTTTTTTGCCCATTTTGTGGTGCTCAGCCAGCGTTGTCATGTTGCAACAACTGATTTTCGAGATCAGTCAGCACAATTGTTGCTCACTTCCTCTGCACGTTAAATATTCAATTGCCTTATCAAATGGTAATTTCTTCCTCCTGGTCAGGACAGCTTAAGCTTACTCTACACGGTAGTATAGTCCACAGCATGTGTGCTCATTTGCTCTGATAGGTTGTTTCGGTAGTCAGGAAAAAATCGGTGTATTGGGTCCAACTTAGGCGCTTTCGGTTATTCGACTCTTCATGAGGCCATTTCACCGTGGTACATGTTTACGTTATCCTTTATGCATCTATTACAAGGATCTTAGATTTCGCTATTGCCCACAAAATTCGCAATGGGCAACACCACGTGCATACTGACACTAGTTTTTTTCGTTTGGAATGCCCGTCTTCGGAATAAGGTCGTGCTCTCCAATTCAAAATTTGACAAGCTTACCACTTCATTCCTTCACAGCATCGATGGTACCTGTCATGCGACTGGACATGCGCTCGCGGGATGATATCGTCGGTGAAAGTTAAATGCTGATTGAACACGGTTTCCTGAGGCCGTTCGATCTATTTTGAGCTTGTGGGTCTTCTTTTACAGGCAAGTCCCTATAACTACTTCTACACGGCCTGAGCCCAGGGAGATGTACCTATGTCGTTTCTGCTCGATATCTTGGCTCGCATCTACTGCTTGCTGGTGTCCTTGTGATTAAATCCTGCCATCTTTTTTTAATTTAAATATGAAATTGATGCTAAATTTATACTATCCATTTGTAAGCTTTCCTGCTCGCTACTAGCTGCAATCGTCGCTCTGTATTCATATTGCGGTCTACTATGATGCACCTACCGTGCACAGTCGCCTTTGGTCCAAAAATCTCATCGTCGCGTAGCCAACTTCACGTCAACCGTCAATTTCCAACACTTTGCGAGTATTTCCTATTGGTACAGATCTACATTACATTTCTGCTCTTATCAGGACTACGGGGGATACTTTTTGGTTGATCTCATAGTGGCTCAATTTCAGCACATTATTGACAAGAGATATACCTTACGCTTGCCGCTTAACATTGGATGCCAGTCCACCACACGCAAAATTGATTTGGGACTCCAAAATTTGGAACACTTTATCCGTCTAAGCAGATCTGTTTTTTCGGCTTCACTAAATGCGCTTTGTTTAAAATTTAGCATCTTTTGACTATTTCCCCCCACCATCATCATGTGTGCAGTTTGTTTGGATATTGCGTCCTAACCTTTTTTTATCTGTGTCTTCACCCCACAAGTTTAAGCTACACGGCTCTTCCGTTTTCAATCGCTTTTCAACTCGCACCTTGGATAGGGTTCAGTGCTTCTATCTTCTGTTGAGACAATTTACGATGCTAGTACTTGTTTAAAATGCAGTCTCTTCTTGGTTTTATACATCTTTCGTGACGTCGTCATTCGGTGTCGTTGAATGCAACGAAATGGTATTCGTTTCCACGATGTCTTGCCCAATAACCTCCATCTCCAAGCTTAAGTTGAAACGGCGGTTACTCTCCATAATGAAGTTTTTCCAAGATTTGATTAACTGCATCTTAATTCATTCTATAATTTCAACACGGCAGCTCTCGCTTTGCTATGGTAGCTTGATTTACGACTTTGGCACCCGTAATTCGATACTGGGTATGCCCCTTCCCGACTGACGATCCTCATAACTCTCTGGGTCGCCTACGCTTACACCTGTAGCTCTCCTTACTGTTACAGCCATTGAGAAACATGGTACTACTCCCAATTTAATTGGGTCGGGTTTTTTAGTGATACATTGAGCCCTCAACCTAACGTCCGTCGCTGGATTCTCGCCCACGGACCTTCCCCCTTTAAGCTTTCGCTCTTATCTATTTGCCGTTGAAATATCTCTTTTGGACTTCAAGCTTTGCTCCTTTGCTTTGTTATTCGACTCCGTACCTGATAGTATTTACTTAGTGTTGCGCCCGTTAGGACCACGAATGTACCGATTTAAGTCATTCGTTGCAATGTCACTTAAAAGAGACACGATTCCTGTCATTCTTACTGGCACCTGATGCCTCCAATTACTGCTTATACTATACTACTACCGGCCACATCCTACAGTGTTTCAGTTTGACATTCGATATGGATTGGGGATGGACGTTCTTTTATAAA